TGGGTTTGAACTGCCGACCTTTTGTTAGCAGCCGAGTGAGTGCCTAACCCACGCAGTGACACTATGAGTCAGAATCGACTCGATGACATACAACGTTTTAAAATAGCCTCCTCTCATCTTCAGCTGTTTTTTGGGGTCGTTCAATTTTTTCTTTTTTCTAGTTTGGGGGATCCAGGAGATGGAAGAAAAAGCCCTGAGAGTGTTAGCTTAATCCAGAATTCTGAATCAATACAATCTTATTCAAAGACCTACTTTCTTTGTGCCCAACACTGTACCAAATAGATGTAAATTTCAACCAGTGCCCATGAAGACCAAGATGGGGCGAGGCCTGGCTTGTGAAAACACTGTGATCTAAGGGATAAAAGAGGCCAAACTCGCAGCCAGGACACCCCCCTTAGGGCCTCTCCCCTCCAGCTCCAAGGTGGGGAACATTCCATTTCAGGTTAGCCTTGAGGGGCCAAAGGTGGTCATTTAGGGGGGTGGGGTGCACCGAGGCTGGCCTCTTACTTGCAGTTTCTGCTTCCTTGGTTCTGAAGCTGAACTTTTCTGGTATAAATGGAGATAAAGATTGCTTGAGGAAGGAATGAATTAGGAGGAAAGCAGACCCCTTGCCCGCGGCTGAACTGGGCTGGGGACTGGTTCCAGGGAGATGTCCGCCACTGGCTGCTGGGTTAAGGTCTTTCTTTGGCTGGAGTGAGAACGAGGTGGGGGATAGCGACGGGGTGCAGGCTCCCCTTCCCTCTTTGTTTTTTCCCCCTCATAGTCTCTCATCACCCGTTCTTCCCCTCTACCTTTCCCTTTCTAGGTTAAAATCTGGTTTCAGAACCGCAGAGCTAAGGAAAGGAAAATCAACAAGAAGAAATTGCAACAGCAACAGCCTCCCCAGCCCCCGCCTCCGGCCCAACCTCCCCAGCCTCCGCCGGGTCCTCTGAGAAGCGTCTCGGAGCCCCTGAGTCCCGTGACTTCCCTGCAGGGCTCAGTGCCTGGCTCGGTCCCCGGGGTGCTGGGGCCGGCAGGAGGGGTGCTCAACCCCACCGTCACGCAGTGACCCACAGTGGTCTGCGGCGGCCGAGCGATCGAGGCCTGCAGCAGCACAGTTCCCGACCGAGCCATTGAAGGACGTGGGCTCCCTGCATAGAAACTTCAGCAGAGACTCTTCCACACCCACCAGTGTACCCCCACTCACCTAACTCTTAGATGAAAAATGGGGGCCAGGCGTAAAGACAAGTGGGCTTGGGGACCTCCAGGAAGCTATTCTCCCCAATTTTGACTTTTTCCCCATCGACTTTTGGCCACTGAGTAGACAGGGCATGACCCAACAGGGGCTTCACTTGAGGGTTGGCAGAAGCCTGGCCACATTGACCAGAATCAGGCTTTCTGCGTCCTCCGTCTACTCCCACGTCCCTCTCTTCACCTTCACGACCTGCAGGACGGCTCTCTGGTTGCAGCTCAGGGGCGAGAAGGACTCCAGGAAACAGCACTGTCTGGAGCCAAGATGGCTGCCTCCTGTCCATTGCCTTCCAAGGACCAGCTGGCCCCTCCTGCCTCAGGGCCAGGCAAGATGAAGCCAGAGGCAGCTGACATAGAAACCTGGACCACAGCCCCGCGGAAGCCCCAGGTGTCCTGTGTCTGCCTTCTCCGTCTCCAGACCAGGACAGGCTTGGCTAGGGTGTGTGCGATGTATGGTCTGAGGGGGTGGTTATTGGACTCCAGGCCCGGCAAGGGGGCCCTTGTTTAGAGAGCCTGTCACCAGAGCCCCTCTGGACTGAATGTATGTCCATGCTGTAAATGCCAGAGCCAACCTGGACTTCCTGTCATTTTCACAATCTTGGGGCTGATGAAGAAGGGGGAAGGGGGGGCATTTCTGTTGTTGCTGTTGCTGTGTGTTTGGCTTGTTGGTCTGTCTAACATCCAAGCCAGCATTTGAAAAGCCTTCTGGATCCATGGGGGAGAGACGTGATAGGGTGAAGGGAAGCAGGGGGGTATCTGAACACAGCTTGAATGTTTTCTTAAAAGAAAAGAGATAAAATTGAGCTTTCCAGATTTCAGACTCCGTATTTATCTGGCTTGGGATTTTGTCTGGAGTTGTCCTTTTTGCAAAATGAATTATCTTCTCTGGTGGCAAACTAGAATTTGAAAAATCAGGGAGGAGGCGCCTAAGGTTATCTGGACGGCCTCCTTTTACCCCCAGAGGGTCAGAAGCCCTAGGGAACAGGTTCAGAGACCTTCCCTGCCCCCAAGCCTGAGCCCTGCCTTGCAGTGTGGTATGTAAGCTGCTCCTAGGGGTGCCTTTGGGCAAAAGGCGCAGGGGAACGGTCAGCAGGTTCCCCGGGGCAGGGAATTATGGGGAGGGAGTGTGAACGCCCCCTCATAGCAGCTCACCGTGGCCTCACCCACGCGATTCCCTTCTTTAGTGACTCCCTCCCACAACCCAGCTAGTTAAACAAAAGCCATTAAGTAAAAAGATAGTATTTTTTTGTTTTCCCAAGACACCACTTATCAGGAATATGGCCACCTTCACTGGAGTCCCTTATCCCGTCTTTTCATCCACCCCCACTGATGAGAATTAAAATAATCCGCCTAAGAAGAGCCTTTTGCGAATGGCTGCTTGCTATCGAGCTGATCCACTGGACCGGACTGTGGTCCCTGAAGCTTTTGGCCTTAGAGGACGCTCGGCTAGGCGCTCCCTGCAAGGCCTGGGGGAGAGGGGCCTTGCCCCCCATCTCGATCCTCCCACCAGCACCTTTATTCTAATCAGCGAGGGAGGAGGTGCCCCGAGGGCTGGGGAGGATGAGCTAAGCAGAAATAGCCCCTGAAGCACCTCCCCAATCCGGCTGCCCTTCCGGGTGGCGCATTCCGCCTGGAGATTGAGAAAGGGGCCCGCGGGCACCTGGTCGGGGAGCCGGTGAGGGCCAGTCCCCAGGGACCTGGAGTGGGGAGGCGGCTGTCAGGCCGAGTCCTCAGGGTAAGGGGGCGCCCGGACGGTGCGCGCCAGCCAGGGGCTCGAGGCTCGGCTAGGAGCGCGAACTCCGCGCACGACCGCGCCCACCGCCCGCGGGGTCCGGCCGAGGTGCTGCCGCAGCCGTTGCTATGCGTTGCCGTGAAACGCCTGTCAATAAACCCTGTTTGGACAGTGGAGCAAGAGCACAAGGGTTGTTTGTTTAGTGGTTAGAGGTTCAAAAGTCGGCATTGTCCCACTGCAAGCGATTACAAGTTCTTCCCCTTCCCAGGGGCTCCACCCCTTCCCCTGCTGCCCCTGCGCGCGGCCCGGAACTGGAGCGACCCGGGGGCGCGCGGCCCGCTCTCCAGGAAACAGAGAGCCGGGCCCGTGACTGCCAGCAGTTTGCGAATTCCTCAGGCCAGTGAAAATGCGGGGAAGTTGGGACCCTCCCTGGCAAGGGAGGCCTGCCGCGTTTTTGACGCCAAAACACACTCACCACTGGAGCAAGCGTGAGGGAAGGCGGGGACACGGCGCTAGGGCGCCCTGGTTTCGTTTTGGGAGCACGACTTTGAGGCTGCGTGAGGCCCTGCGCTGCGCGGGGTGGGGCACCCGGAATCCCTCCGCCTCCCCCGCGCCCTCTTCCCCACCTAGGCCGCCAGGGGGCGCGCGCGCTCTGGGGAGAGGTGGGGCAGAGAGCGCGCGCGGAGCGCTCTGCCCTCTACGTGTTGTTGGTACAGGCCCGGGTTTGACCCAGCCTTAAGGTTGCAGCTTCAGCGCCTCTGCCCAGCCGGGCGCTCCTGACCTGGGTCACGGCGAGATTGCCTCACGTTAATCATGGCTCTGGCAAACTAAGGCGCAGGAGATTCTTGTATGTATTCTTGTATTTAAGAAAAACGAATGTGGGGACCGTCTACCGTTTTCTCTTTTTTTTTTCTTTTTTCTTTTATTGTGATTTGGGGGAAGATTTACAGAGCAAATTCACTTTCCATACAGCGGTTCACATATCCGTCTACCGTTTTAGAAAATTGCACAAGAATGTTTCTTTTAAACAATGCATTTACATGAGCGTGGTGCTGGGTAATCTACTTCTGTAGTGATACCGCCTGGGAAACCGAAGGGAGGGGTCGCTATGAGTCGGATCTGACTCCACGGCAGTGGGTTAGTTGAGTTTAATATACCTAAAGAATGGGGGAAATGCTCATGTGGGATAAATATAGGAAAGAAATGTATCAGTATTGTGAAACTCATGCCAAAGAAAATATGCCTGGAGAGAAGATAACCAGAGTCTTTTTTTTTTTTTTTTTGCCAAGAATCATCCTTTCATCTCATTAAGCTAACAAGGTGGGCTGTTAATCTAGCAGCCACAAAAATTTCACTTCTAATAATATCTAGTAAACTGTCAAGAAAGCAAACCAAATCTACTGCCGTCAAGTCGAGTCGAACTGATAGCGACCCCTACTGGGTTTCCCAGGCTGTCAATCTTTAAGGAAGTAGATTGTCTCATCTTCCTGCCGGGGAGCAGCTGGTGGTTTTGAACCGCCAACCTTCTGGTTAGCGGCCAAATGCCACACCCACTATACAACCAAGCTGATCTTAAACAGCAATCTAAGTATAGAAACAGCAGTAATCTTGCAGCTGTTTTTCACAGCCACTCAGATCTAAGACAATAAGAGAAGGCAAGCCGAAACTGAGTGAAATGTCAGCTGTAGAACAGCAAAAACCCAAAACCAAACTCACTGCCTTCAAGTCCATTCTGATTTATAGCCAGCCCCCCCCATTGGGTATCCATAAATGTTTATGGAAGGAGCAGCTGGTGGGTTTGAACCACTGACCTTCTGATTAGCAGCCAAATGCTTTACCCACTGTTGTTGTTATGTGCTGTTGAGTAGGCCCCGACTCATAGCGACCCCTCCTTGGGTTTCCGAGGCTGTCAGTCTTCACAGAAGCAAAGCCCAAACC